CCCAGGGCCGGGGAGAGGGTGCGGGGGACCCCGAAGTTCTGGGCTCGGGGCTGGGGGCGGCGCGAGGAGCTCTGAAGTTCCAGGGCTGGAGGAATCACGGGGTCCCGAAGTTCCGGAGTCGGAGTCGGGGAGGGGACAGAGCGAGCGGTTCCAAAATTTCTGGCCCCGGCATTGAAGAAATCCGCCAACGGGTCCCCGAAGTCCCGGACCTGGGCTGGGAGAGCGGCGCAGAGGGGGTCCTCGAAGTTCCAGACCAGGGACTGGAGGGTTGGCAGGGGCCCCTGGAGTTCTGGAGTCGAGATCAGTGCCAAGGTCTCCAAAGTTCCGGACCCGGGGTTGCCGGAGGTAGCGCGGGGTGAGGGAGGGAAGACCCCGAAGTTTCGGACCCGGGTTGGAGGAGGCAGAAGAGATGTCCCCAAAGTTCTGGAACCGGAGTCAGGGCAGCGTTGCATGGATCGGGGAAGTTCCAGGGTCTGGGCGGCGCGTTACGAAGTTGGGGCGCTTACGGGGTGCCCTCCTGACGCGGGTGGGACTGGATCCTGAATGAATATCAGGCCTCTGGACTGGGGCGCTTGGGATGAGTTCTCGCCCCCAGCCCGATTGGGGGTTCCTGGGCTCTGCGAGGTGTTGGACCCCCCTTGGGGAACCCCGCGGCCCGCGGCGTCCTAGGCGCATGACTAGTTGGTGAGTAACTTTTCCCAAACGCTGCGAGTCGAGTCGCGGCAGGAGCCGCCGGGCCGGAAGGGCCTGGGTTCCGGGGACCCCTTCAATCCTCAGCCCCTGTCAGGCTCAGGACCCGCCCCCAACCCAGGACTTAGCTGCCGCTCCTCCCCCACCTAGGGGCTCCGATTTCAGACCCTGTGACCGGGATAGCAGCTGCCCAGGACAGGATGGGGGGGCATTCCCCCCTCTGACCTCGGAGGCGCCGGGCTGGGGGCCGCCCCTCCCCCTCCTGGAGTCCTACTTCTCCAACCCCCTATTGGATCCCCTGCAGATCCCTGGGATGTAGGTTTGGGGACACCTGAGGACCAGGAAGTCTCCTCCCATCAGCATTGCTGGCTTCCTGGGACGGTGGCTATTGGAACCAACTGGGAGGCTGTGGAGCCCCCTTCTCCAGATCTTGAATGTGCTAGAAAGTACTGAGCAGGGTTATCCTTGGCCTTGCCACCCAGCCCAAGGGTAGAGAGGCTTCAATGGGGGAGCCCAGTAACCAGAATGATGAGAAGTTTATATTACATGTTAGGGGCCACCTGTCTTCTCCAGAGCTCCTCCTGCCCAGAATGTTGTGGGGCCTTCCCCAAATGGAGAATGATGGAGTTCTTTCTCTCTGGTACCTACTGATTGTCATGCCTTTTTGATTAAAGTTCTATAAATGGTACACCTGGTGGTGTCCTGAGATTGGACCTGTTTGGCCTTCTCAGCCTGACCTGAGAAGACACTCACAGGACCCTCTGTCCCCAGGGGCCAAGCCAGCCACTCCTGCCACCCCTCTGGCTGCTCCTTAGAGCCCACCCAGCCCAGCCTGACCAATGTCCACAGCCAGGTAAGCTCCCACCTACCTTGTCCAGCCCTGAGCTCCTTGGAGGTGCTTATCCCCCACTGAGTCCCCTCTCCCCATTTAGGGAGCAGCCAATCTTCAGTACACGGGCACACGTGTTCCAGATTGACCCGGCCACCAAGAGGAACTGGATCCCGGCCGGCAAGCATGCACTTACCGTCTCCTATTTCTACGATGCCACTCGCAATGTCTACCGCATCATCAGCATTGGGGGCGCTAAGGTCGGCAGGGTCTGGGTGGGGTATAGGCACTAGAGCCCCAGGAGATAGGCCTGGGTCTGGTCACTGCCTTGCTGGGTGCTCTGGGAAACAAGGAACCCTGGCCCTTTCTCAGCCATCTCTTCCTCCTGAAATGGCTCAGAGCAGAGACCTCTGAAGCCCTAAGACAAAATGGTGCTCATTCATCCAGGAATTCATGTGTGTGTCATTGTCATCAGGCCCTTCAACTTTGATCTCTGAATCCCCACAGGCCATCATCAACAGTACTGTTACCCCCAACATGACCTTTACCAAAACCTCCCAGAAGTTTGGGCAGTGGGCAGACAGTCGTGCCAACACAGTCTACGGCCTTGGCTTTGCCTCTGAGCAGCATCTGACTCAGGTAGGTGGCATGGGGGGAACAGAGGGGAGAGACGGGCCTGGGCCTATGTCTTCACCTGGTCTCACTAGGGGACAGTGCACAGGACCTGGCCTCTGTGTACTCAGTGGCAGATTGGGTACACAGAGCCAGGCACAGTGTTGCACACCTGTAATCCCAGCAGCTCAGGAGACTGAGACAGGAGGATTGCAAGTTCAAAGCCAGCCTCAGCAATTTAGCAAGGCCCTGTCTCAAAATAAAATATAAAAAGGGGCTGGAGATGTGGCTCAGTGGTTAAGCGCCTCCAGGTTCAATCCTGGAAACAACAACAAAAAGAATGGGCACATAGAATTAGACAGGCAGGTGGCGCATGCCAGTAATCCTAGATGCTGGGGAGGCTGAGGCAGCAGGATCACAAATTTGAGGCCAGCGTCAGCAACTTGGCGTGACCCTGTCTCAAAACTTAAAAAAAAAATAAATAAATAAATAAATAAAGAAGGCTGGGGATGTAGCTTAGTGGTGGGGCACCCTGGGTTCATTCCCTAGTTCTGGGGGGAAAAAAGATGAGCAAGAAGCCCCTTCTATTTCCCTGGTTTGAATCCTGGTTCTGCTGGCCACTTGCTTCAATTTTAGGTCATCGCCCTGGTGCCTGGACTAGGGGTCCTTCCCCCCTTTCCCAGCAGTACTCAGCTATTACCTCCCTTCTTCAGGATATTTTCTGTATCCATTGTTCTTTTTTTTTTTTTCTTTTTATGATTAATGCTTCCTGTACCCTGAAGATTTTCTCTGTTTTATTCTAGAAGCATTATAATGTTCTTTTTTTTTTTTTTTAAAGGAGAGAGTGAGAGAGGAGAGAGAGAGAGAGAGAGAAATTTTAATATTTATTTCTTAGTTCTCGGCGGACACAACATCTTTGTTGGTATGTGGTGCTGGGGATCGAACCCGGGCCACATGCATGCCAGACGAGCACACTACCGCTTGAGCCACATCCCCAGCCCTATAATGTTCTTTTCAAGGTTAGGTTTTGAGTTAACTTCTGTGGGTGGTGCAAAGTAGGGCCAGAGGTTCATTTTATCCCCACATGAATATTAAGTTATTTTTAGGCATTTTGTTGTTGTTGTTGTTATTGTTTGTTTTGTTTACAGTGCTAGGGGATGGAATCCAGGGGGCTGCTTTTTGGTTGGTTGGTTGGTTGGTACCAGGATTGCTTAAGCACTGAAACACACCCCAAGCTCTTTTTATATTTTATTTAGAGACTGGGTCTTGCTAAGTTGCTTAGGGCTAAATTGCTGAGGCTGGCTTTGAACTTTCAATCCTCCTCCCTCAGCCTCCCCAGCCTCTGGGATTATAGGCATGTACCAACTTGCCCTGCTCAGGGGTTTGTTTTTGAAAAGATAATTTTCCCCCAGTGAATTACACTGAATACCTTTGCATGAGTCTAGTGGTGTGACTGTAAATAATTTTTTAAAAGTTTTTGTTTGGAGGTGTTGGGGATCGAACCCAGGGCCTTGCTCATGCTAAGTAGGTGCTCCACCACTGAGCCACACCCAGACTCTAAACATTTTTATTTATTTATTTATTTATTGATTGAGATGGGGGTCTGCCTGTGCTGCCCAGGCTGGCCTCAAACTCCTGGCCTCAAACTCTTGTCTCAGCCTCCCAGGAAGCTAGGAATACAGGGCATGCCACCACACCTGGTTAAAAAAAAAAAAAAAGGTTTAAACAAAGGGAACTTATTTTAAAATTAAAACAAAACAAACAAACGAAAAAACACTTTCTATCTTAACTGGAGAACAAGTTTAATTGCCAGAGCTAGGTGGTAAATGTAAACGCTTGGCTTAATGAAAACTGGAAGCAGGTAATTACTCTCTGACTGTCGATGCCTCCCTCTCAGAGGCTCCAAGTGCAAGACCTCCTCTCTCTGTTATAAAGGAATGTTAACAGGTGTTAAAGAAAAGTCAGCACCAGCCAGAGGCTCTCCTTGTTGAAATAAGCCTGACAGAGAGGAAAAGGGAATCCCTTTCTTAATGTCTCTCAGTGTACTTACTGCCACCTCCGGGAACATCCCTCCCACCAGGGTACCCATTCTGCTCAAGGGGACATCGTTTTCCAACCTGCCCCTTTCGGTTTGTGAGATAAGGGGGTATGCACAGTTCCTAAGGTCCCCCCAAGGTAACAATGCTGGCAGTGGGTGGGAGTGACCTGGTGGGAGGCTGGAGAGGGGCTGGAGAGTTTGTTCACCTCTGCTTTCTGCCCCCCAGTTTGCTGAGAAGTTCCAGGAAGTGAAGGAAGCAGCAAGGTTGGCCCGGGAGAAATCTCAGGATGGAGGGGAGCTCACCAGCCCTGCCCTGGGGCTTGCCTCCCACCAGGTGAGCATTCCCTGCCCCTCCTCTTGGCATCTCTGAATCAGCCATGCACTGTGGGTACCTAGGAGAAAATGCTCACAGATAACCCTAACAGTAGACCGTGGAGGCAGGGCTTGGGCCATGGAGCACATCTTAGGAGGTTTAGCTTGGCTTGGGCTCAAAATCAGCTCAGATGACAGAATTAATTGAAGACTGGAAGTTAAAATAGCTAAGGGGGGTGAGCAGAACAGCGATCTGTCTCTGGGCACTACCCCCATTCATTTATTTTCGTTATAATTTATTGAGCAGCTGCCGTGTGCCAGACCCGGGGCTGGGTACAGGGGTTTCAGAAATGAGAAAGTTGCTGTCTCTGTCCTCAGGGCTGCAGGCCCAGGCAGTGAGATTGCTCCGAAGATGCAAATTCCGCCTGGGGAGGGCATCCTGCGCTGTTCTTAACAGTGTGTTGAAATTCTGTCCCAGGGAAGAGCAGTGCTCGAGGGAACAGCTTGGAGCAATTAGATTCTGGGCAGCGTTTAGCTTTGCAGATTGTGTATCAGGTTTTCAGGGGTTGGTGAAAGCCCAGCCGGGCAAGGTGGGAGGCTGGGAAGTCCAGTCCAGGGGTCATAGGGAGCCATAGAGGGTGGGTGAGGACGGGAGGGTTGCGCCTAGATGCCAGTACTGGGAAGGACCTACTGGGGTCCGCAGGTCAATTCAGATTCTCTGACCCCAGTCATGACGGCAGGGACTTCGGCCCTGACATCAACTATGACTTTCTAAGCCGTTCTTGACTGAAGCCACCACTCACCGTCACCCCGCTTCATCCTCACCCGCAGGTGCCCCCCAGCCCCCTCGTCAGTGCCAATGGCCCAGGCGAAGAGAAACTGTTCCGCAGCCAGAGCGCGGACGCCCCGGGCCCCACCGAGCGGGAGCGGCTAAAGAAGATGCTGTCGGAGGGGTGAGGGGCGGGGCCTAGGGAGCGGGCGGGGCGAGGTGGGCGGGGCAGGGAGGAGGCGCTCGGGCTGTGGATCCGAGATCCGGGAGCGGGAGGAGGCTGACCCAGATCCTGCCCGATCCCCAGCCGGACCACGCCTCCCTAGGGCTGGCTCCATCCCCCTCTCATCCGTTCTGGAGTCCTTTCTCCCTCATTCACGCCTCCTTACCCCGTTCTGGCCACGCCCCAGTGGGATGCTTCAAGTCTCCCATTCAGACGAGGTCCTGGGGCTAATGTCACGTGTCCATTTTGACCCGGTCAGGAACAGAACTAAGCCTGCCCAGCGCCGCCCAATTCCCTAGCTCATCGCTATTTAGGCCCCGCCCCACTCCAGCCTAGCCCCGCCCCCAGCCTGGGGCTTATCTATCCCTCGTGCTGACCCCGGTTTCTCCACAGCTCGGTGGGCGAGGTGCAGTGGGAGGCCGAGTTCTTTGCGCTGCAGGACAGCAACAATAAACTGGCAGGCGCCCTGCGGGAGGCAAACGCCGCCGCAGCGCAGTGGAGGCAGCAGCTGGAGGCCCAGCGTGCAGAGGCCGAGCGGCTGCGGCAGCGGGTGAGGGCACCCTTTCCTCCCAGAGACACTGTCTGGCTCTGGCAACTGCAGAGGGGTTCCCAGGATGGCCGAATGACTTCAGCAGATCATTCCGGACCTCAATTTCTTGCTCTGTAAAATGGGTCTTGAGACTGAAAGCCTCAGAGGGTCTGTCATGCTCTATAAAGTCCAAACTACCCGGAGGAGGGGTGGTACCACCTACCAAGAATGAGTAGGAGGCAGATTCTCCAGGGGCCTGGGGAGCAATGGGACAGCACACGCTGGGGTGTTGTGCTGAGCTTCCTGTGGGTGTAGGTGGCCGAGTTGGAGGCCCAGGCAACTGCAGAGACAGCTCCTGTCGTGGAGAAGGAGGTGCCCAGTCAGTCGCTGGAGCAGCTGGAAGCCCTGGTGCAAACAAAGGACCAGGTGAGCACCAAGTGTGGTCCCTGAGCCCTGCCTTCCATCAGCTTCCCCTGTGGATCCAGGACCTCCAAACAGACCCTGGGAACCCTTCTCCCCTAGGAGATCCAGACGCTGAAGAATCAGACTGGTGGTCCTCGAGAGACCCCGGATGCCACAGAGCGGGAGGAGACCCAACAGAAGGTGCAGGTGTGTGGGGTGACGGAGAATGGGTATCCAACCCCTGGATAGGACAGACTTGGGGTCTATGTCTCTGAGCCTTAATTTCTTCATTTGTAAGTGGATCAGGACCATATCCATCTAACGTCATGAAGAATTGGGAAGTCTAGACCCACAGAATTCCCGACACTTAGTAGGTGCTTTATAAACAACAGTAATTAGTAGTTTCATATCTGTCCTTCATTCAAAGCACTTTCTCAGTCCTTGCTAATTCCATTGCTTAACCCCATCAAATCTTCAAAATGTTCTGGCCTGAGGTCACAGAGACTGCATTTGAACCCAGGTCTGGCAGGCTTAGCTTTCACTGGAGTCTTTGAGAAATGTTCATGGGGTACTTCCTATGTGCCCAATACATGGAGATATTAAAGGGGCTGGTGCCTCCCAAAGATTCCTGGGGAGAAAAGTTGGGGAAGTGATCCCTATCATCTTCTGGGCACACAGCATGTGCAAAGGCCCTGAGGTGTGAAGAAATCCAGAGTGTTTAAAGAACTGCAAGGCTCAAAAAGGCTGAGTGGGAATGAGCAAGGAAAGGAGAGCCCCAGCACAACCCTAGGGATGTACATTTATTTCCAGTGTCGTGAGAGTCATAGGAGGGCTTTAAGTGGAAGAGAACCACAATTGGTTCTATGATGCTCAAGATGGCTGGGGACAGGGCTGGGGATGTGGCTCAAGCAGTATCGTGCTTGCCTGGCATGCATGCGGCCCGGGTTCGATCCTCAGCACCACATACAAACAAAGATGTTGTGTCCGCCAATAACTAAAAAATAAATATGAAAAAATTCTCTCACTCTCTGTTTAAAAAAAAAATAATAAGGACAATAATCATCATCATTTAAGAAAAAAAAAAAAGATGGCTGGGGACAGGGAGTGCTGGGCAGAGCAGAGGTGCCGAGAGGTGGCTGTGAGACAACCAGGTCCCAGCCCAGCGCCCTCAGATGCTGGAGATGCTGGGTACCCAGTCAGGGCTGATGACCCTTGAGACTTGTTGGGGTCCCCAACTCTGCTACCCTGTCCCCACAGGACCTGGAGACACGCAACGCAGAGCTGGAGCACCAACTGCGGGCCACGGAGCGCAGCCTGGAAGAGGCCCGGGCTGAGCGGGAGCGGGCGCGGGCCGAAGTGGGCCGGGCTGCACAGCTGCTGGACGTCAGGCTGTTTGAGCTGAGCGAACTCAGAGAAGGCCTGGCCCGCCTGGCAGAGGCTGCGCCCTGAGCAGAGCTGGGTCTCAGGGGCTGGTTCTACCTAAAGGATCCCCACACGGGGTGAGGCTGGGGCTCAGGCGGGCCTGTTTGCCCTGGCAGGGACCAGGGAGCCTGACTCGGCCTGGCCATGGCCACTCACAGCATGGGGCCTGTTTTTGAGCTTTTCATTGTGTAGAATTTCTAGAACCCACGGGCATGTGCTGGTGCCCAGATTACATTTCTAAGTGTGACTGCGTGTGTGTGGTGTGTAGGCACCAGACCCGTCGCCCCCCCCCCTTTACCTTTCTCCTCCAGGATGGATCCTGGCTGCCCTGCATCCCTGTGGTGATCCCAAAGCCCTTTTGCCGGTGAGAGGCATGTCTAGGTCACATATCCTGGAGCCTGCTCTGCCTGGCGCCTCTGCCTCAGTCCCCTTGGGCTTAGCCATGTTGTTTGGCCAACCAGTGTCTGTATAGGGGATTGAACCCAGTGGGGCTTTACTACCGAGCTACATCCCCAGTCCTTTTTAAAGTTTTTTACTTTACGACTGGGTCTTACTAAGATGCTGAGGCTAGCCTCAAGCTTGCAATCCTCCTGCCTCAGTCTCTTGAGTTGCTGAGATTATAGGTGTGCACCAACTTTGGCCTTACGTGGCCCCTGGTTAAATCTCCCTCACTCTGGCCACAACCTCCAGATGTGGGCAGCCAGGGAGAATCCTAGAATACTGCTTAGGCACAAGGTGATCACACCAAAATCTCCTGGCTAGATTTGAAATGGTGCAGTTGCTAAGCCCATGTGCTCAGTTAGGAAACTGAGGACCAGAGAAGGGGCTTCACAGACCCAAGGTCAAGTGTCTGGAATGGCTGGGCCTGCTGGAGGGGTTGAAGAACTGGGGTAGGTGCAACAAGTTTTGGGGGACTTGAGAGAGGCAGGCAGAAGCATCCCACCTGTCCTGCCCTCATTTCTAAGTCAGGCTGAGAAAAGCTGAAAGACCCATTTATTGAGTGCCACCTATCCACGGAATGCTGTGCCCGGGGGCACCTGTGCCACGGTGTGGAATTTGTGGAGCAGGGTTCCGCCTCAGTCAGTGCTCCTTCCTCCTCTGCAGCCTGACTCCTGGCCAGGGCCCTAGGAAAGGGCCAGCTGGGGATTCCGGACAAAGGAGTGGGGACTGCATGATGTAGGTGTCCATGGCTTCCACTGAGGGGCACAGGAAAGGCTTGAGGGGAGTCCCTCAGACCCTCAGTCAATAAGCAGTCCCAGACTGGGCAGGAGGGGCCATGGTGAACTCAGGCCGGGCCCTGGGTCGGTGCTGGGGCTGTGTGGGACCCAGGCTGGGCCCGGGGTGGACGTCCCCTGCGGCCAGCCCTGCTGGCCTTCTGTCGCTGGAGTGTGTGTTCCACCTTCTCCTTGAAGCGCCGGTTCTTCTGCTTGATCTTGGCCAGCTCTGCCTTGCGCTTCGCCTCCAGGTCGGGGTCCTGGCATGGGGAGGACCAGCGAGTGGCTGAGCTGGATGCCCCCACCTCGGGACCCTCGTCACCCCCTGCCAGCCTGGCACTCACCTTCCCCTCCAGGATCAGTTGCTTCCGCTTGTTGATCTCCTTCTTTTCGTCAAAGTGGGCCGCCTCCAGTTTCTAGTGGGGGAGGAAGAGATGGTCACAGCTTCGGTCTTGAAGGGGACAGCCAGGCCCGAAGTGCAGGCAGCCCCACCCGACACTCACGATCTCACACTCCCTCCGCACGACGTTGACCTGTGTGAGGATCTGCAGCACCTTGGCCTCCTCCACCGACAGTTCCTCCAGCTGCTTGTCTGTGGGGACAGCGGACAGGGAGGTAGTGAGTTCCCTGGGAGAAGGGGCACACAAGCTACCCAGGGTTGGGTCAGGTGTAGAGGTACAGACACAGCAGATACTGGTGTCAGCAACACTATGACCTGGAATACAGTGGCCCTCTGTATGCCACATTCTGCATCTGCAGATTCAACCAGTTGTGGATGGAAAATATTCAGAGAAAAGAAAACTGCACAGACAGCTTCTTTCTGTGGTGCTGGTGATGAAGCCCAGGGCCATGCACATGCTCAGCAAGTGCTCCACCACTGGGCTACACCCCCAGCCCAGACTATTCCTTTAGTCCCTAAATAATACAGGACAACAACCACTTCCACAGCAACCGCATTGCACTAAGTACTCCAGGTCATCTAGTGACAACATGAAGTCTGCGGGAGTAAAGGTGGTGACCCCTAGGGCAGACTAGGACAACTGAATTGCATGTACCAGGTGGGGAGGGTCTAGCAAACAATGCACCACTTTCTAGACGGGACTGGAGCATCTGTGCATTCTGGTATCCATGGGGGTCCAGGAACTAAACCTTTCCCACAGAAACCGAGGGACAATTGGATTCATTTCTTGGACACAATGTCCTTTCAAGTCAAAGATGGGTGTGACAGTAGACATCTATAGGATCGCTGAGATCTAGTAGTTCATGGCTGGTCTGGGCAACCCGGTGAGATCCCATCTCATTACAAATTAAAAAAAAAAAAAAAAAAAAAGTGAAGGCTTCTGACTTTGAGGTCGGTGTGCACAGCACCTGGAGATGCTGCAGCCAGTGGTTCTGCTCAGGCCACGATAAACCACAGCGAGGGGCTCAGCAGGCCCAGGCCTGCCACAGTGGGTGGTCTCTGGTCTCAGGGACCATCTCCACACTCCAGTCTGAGAAACTAAAGTCCACTCCCACTAGACATGGTGTCAGCAGACGACAGTCCTGTGGGGAGCTTCTTTTGACAATGGCAAAAGCAACATGTGGGATGCTCACAGGAGGACGCACAGGTGACCTGCTCTGGAAGCAGCCTGCAGGGGTAGATGGGGCAGACAGTGCCACCCAAAGGTGCCCGAGTCCCTGCCCCACTCACTGATTTGTTCCTCAATGGCGTGTACCAGGTGGATGTCATATTGTGTCACCAGCGTGATGGCCTGTCCCTGCCGCCCTGTAGGGACATACCTCAGTTATAGGACGTGGAACCAACAAAGGCAGATCCTGACAGCCAGACACCTCTGGGCTCCCCTTGCAAGGTGCAGAATAAGGGCTCCGTGGGGAAAGGACCAGCTCAGAGCACGGGGGCTCGCCCTGTGCTGGGCCTGTGTAGAGGGTGGGACTGTCCTAGGGGAGCCACCAGACATGGAGAGGTGGTTCTCCTGCCAGCCTGGCCTGACATGAGGGCAGGTGACATGGCTGCCAGGGAGCTCAGGCCGTATGTCAGATATTAGCCCTGATGAGCCTCAGCCTGGATCTCTACACTCCAGTTTCTGCTTCCGGTATCTAGGATGGTGACTAGAGCTGAACTGGTGGCTGGTAAAGTCCATCACCCTCGCAACAGCCTGAAACAGGCACCACCGTTCTCGTTACCCACCACAGTGGGACGCAAGCAGTGGATGCAACCTGCTCCAAGCCACAGGTCACCCCAGGAATCCTACCCCCCAGCCCCAGGAGCGAGAATCTCATGAACACGGTGCCCCTCCAGGACAGTGCTGGGAGGCAGACACTGGGTGTCTCCTTGGCCCTTCAGCCAGGGCCACTCAGGAGGGCTGACCCTAGAGACCAGCTCTTGAGGGCAGCGTCCTACCTGCCAGGGCTCTCCATCTACTTGCTGCTGGGTCCCAAACGGTAGCCCTGATATGAAAGGGCCCTTGAGTGAGGCCACACAAGTGGCAGGGACTAAGGCAGTATGTGCCTTTGCTGTTGCCTTTTTTTTTTTGTGGTGCTGGGTTAGAATCCAGACCTCACGTCTGCAAGGCAAGAGCTCTACCACCCAGACACGCCCGAGAACCTGCCTTTGGTTTTGGAGATGGCTCTAACCTACTGCCTCTGACCTGTGGGCTCTAGCTCACCTATATCCCACTAGCATACGATTTTGGCTCCTTGGCATGTGGGGAGGCTAGGGGGACGGTGTCTATAGGTTGCCCACCTTGTCTGCTAACCCTGCCCACCTGCTCACCTGCACGGGCTGTCCGTCCGACTCGGTGGATGTAGATCTTGGGAAGTCCAGGGGTGTTGTGGTTGATGACCACCTGCACTGTGGGGATGTCCAGGCCCCTGTAGGCACAGGCCAGTCACACCCACTGTCCCAAGTGGGGAAACTGAGGCTTAAACCCCTGCCAGGGTTACTCATGACCAAGACTAGGCTCCTTGACCCTCCTTGGGGCCTTGGCTGCCACTGGAGGGAAAATACCCTGGGCAGGGGTTGAAGCATGGACCTGGGTGTTGCTCACCGAGAGGCCACATCTGTGGCAATCAGGATCCGGTATATGCTGGATTTGAACTTCGCCAGAGCAGCAAAACGTTCTTTCTGCACGGTGTTGGGAAGAAATTTGTGAGTGGGTTGGGGAGGGCTTGTATGTGAGGACCAGGGACAGGGTAGAAACAGGTCAGCTCCTACCCTCAGGGGGCTCACAGCCAGTAAGGGTAGTGACCCCTAGGGCAGACTAGGACAACTGAACAATGGGAGAGAGACATGAGGCCAGGGAAAGAAAGCAGCAGGAAGTGGGTTCTGGGCAGAGCATGGGCAAAGGCTGGAGGCTGGGAGGTGTCCTGGGCTGGGCGGGGAGGTGCAGCCATCGAGTCCCGCACCTGTTTCATCATGGAGTGCAGAGCCACTGTGGGGAAGCTGAACTTACGCAGCATCATACACAGGATTTGGCAGGTCCTGGTGGAAAAAATGTGACTGTCAGCTCTTCCTGCTCTGGGTCCTGGGACAGTGATCCCGCCCCAACCCACTCAGAGACACCAAGCAAGGTAACCCTGTGCCACTCAGAAATGAGAAAAAATACAGGGGCCTAGAGGTCCCGCCCGCCTGCCAGACTCTCTGCTGACCCTTCCCTGGGCCTGAAGTGATAACTGGCCTGGAGAGTTAGAGGTGCGGCTCACGGCAGAGTGCTGGCCAGCGTTTTCCCCGGGTTCCATCCCTAGGACTACACACACACGCACACACACTGTGCCCTGGGACTGCCGCTCATTTCTGAACAAGCAGACTCCTTTCGGTTAAGACCACAAGGGCTGGGAAACTAGAAACTGAGCCACTGTCACAGGAGGGCATAGACTCCCCAAGGGGACTGATAGAGGGTAACAGCTAAAAGATGGATGGAAAGAAACAACTGGTGTCTGGGCTGGTGTAGCTCGGAGGTGGTGCCCATGCTTATCCACGGGAGCCTGAGCTCAGTCTCCAGCACTTGCCAACCTCACAGAAAGTGATCCCATCCCGTGAGCTGCTGGGTACTGCTGTGCCTGACAGTCACTCTGTATCCAAACTTTTCTCCTGGGAGCCAGTTCATCTGGACTGTTCTGAGTCCTGTTCTTCTAGCCCATGCTGGAATAGCCCACAGCCTCTTGATCATGCCCCAAATAGCTCAAAGGAGGAGCCAGTGTGAAGTGCCCATAGGAGCCTTGGTTAATAGTCACAGCTTCCCATCAGAGGGTCTGGAGGCCCAGGTAAGCCTGGTGACACGCTCGGCCATAACAACTAGGCTGCTGAGATAGCTCTGCAGGGTTTCCTGAGCCTTCCGTACAAGATGGGGCTGAGCCCCTCACCCAAAAAACTTCCGATCTGAGCTAAGGCGAGGAGAGACCAGCCTGGCTGTTTGCCCCAAGGCTGTGACTCTGGGCCACCTCTAAAGGGCTGTGGCAGGGAGGCAGGCCCCGCCCCCACACTCACTTGCACGTGTTGGTGAAAATGATGATGGACCAGTCCTCGTGCTCATCCTGGAAGGTCTGGATCAGGTGCACCAGGTATGCATCCTTGACCTTCTCAGGCACCAGCAGGTAGCGTTGGTCCAGCTGCTCCACAGTGCGCACCCTGGGGATGGAAGCCACCAGTTTCCCCTTCTGTCCAATGGGGCTACTGCCCGCCCTGCCTCCAACCTTGCCTGCCCAACAGTGGTCAGGGACTCACGGGGCCTGTGCCTCCCAGAAGAAGGGCTGGTTGGTGGCCAGGCCTTGCAATTCCTTGAGCGTGTCTGTCAGTGTGGCGCTGAAGAGCAGAGTCTGCCTGCGGGCGGGTACGGCTGCCAGGATGGTTTCCAGGTCCACTGTGAAGTCGGTGCAGCCCTGCTCCAACAGCCGGTCTGCCTCGTCCATCACCTGCAGTGTCCGTGGGGCAGGAGGTGGAAATGGGGTCCGGGTGCTAGCTGTGGCCCCAGGCCTGTCCTATCCTGTCCTTCCCCAGCCTGCCTCTTCCCAAGGTGTGGACATGAGCTCTGAGGCGCTCTCCTCTAGGTCTCAGCACGAGGGCACCTCCTCAGTCAGACCTTGCCCTCCTTATCCTCACTAGTACTGGCTTCTCTCTTTTTGGTCCCTGAGTGGGCCTTGTCACTATTTCTAGCACTTTACTAAACGATCCATGTGGCCCCTGTTTTCCAGATAGATGGAACAGTGCTCCTGGCTCCATCCCATGCCCAGAGGACCCAAAGTCAGTGAGCATAGCTGGGGCGGCTCACCAAGAAGCGAATTTTCTTTATGTGGAAGGTGTTAGAGCTGCGGAGGTGGTCAGCCAGGCGTCCTGGAGTGGCAATGACCACATGTGGTTTCCGAGAGAGTTCCAGTGCCTGGGTCACCATGTCTGGGGGTGGAGGGCAACAGGTGAGGCTGGGTGGAAGATCTGTAGCTGTGGGGCTCCCATGCCCAGAACCCACCAGCCCCAGTACCCATGCCACCGACGATGATGCAGTCTTTCAGACCCAGGGGCTTCCCCAGCACCCGGAACTGCTCCGCAATCTGGTAGGCCAGCTCCCTGTGGGCAGGAAGGGGCCAGACTGGGTCAGGTAGCAGTTCTGTGCCTCTCATTCCCAACACCATCCCCAGAGTTCCTCCCTGAGCCCCTGGCTTCCTGTCTCTCCCTCTACTGTTTATACGCAAAGGCTCTGAGGCTGAGTACTAGAGCCTGTTGTGGGCTCATCCCAGAACATCCCATGATGATCCCCCTGCTAGTCAAACCTAAAATGGCCTTGGCATCTCCCCCTCCGCAAAACTTATACCTTCTCCTGTGTCCTTTTCTCAGTAATGTTGGTCAACACTACTCAGTCGCCCAGTCAGAGACCCAACCAGCAGCCTACTCTCCTCTGGGCCAGTCAGTCTCCAGGGCCTGTGTCTGCCAGCCCTTGCTCTGCTCAAGCCTTTTCCTGAGCAGAAAATGCTACTTCCTGGCCTCCTTCCTTGCTCAATCCTGTTTACATACCCTGAGAATCAATTCTAACCCCCTGCTTAACATTTAAGGCTTTCTCAAGCTGGTTCTAACACGCCCAGCTCCTAGATCCCTTTGTGTTCCCTGTTTCTCTCATACTTCTGCATGCAGGGCCCTCTGCCTAGAATGCTTTTCTATTCATTTGGCTGTATTGACTGCGGGCAGCTCCCATTTGGCCAGTACTTGCCCTGGTCAAGCTCTATGCTAAGAAATTTTCATAAACACCTGTTCATAAAACCTGTTCTGTTGAATTCTGTAGCACTCATAATTTTTGTCCCATGGGCAAAGTGCAGCTCAGAGAAGTAAAGGCATTTGTCCAAGAGAACACAGGTGGTTAACTCACATGCAAGGGGCTTGTTGGGAGGCTCACCTGGTGGGTGTTAGGACAAGGCAGAAGATGCCATAAGGATCCTCAGACAGCTTCTGCAAGATGGGCAAGACAAATGCTGCTGTCTTGCCACTTCCTGTCTTGGCACAGCCTAAGCAGTCCCGACCTGCACAGAGGGCAAAACAATATAAACACACTCCAGGTGAACACAGCTAGTCCCTTGGGCACATCCGGCATAGTCCAGAAGGGCTAATGTATGTTTGTTCATTTATTTAACAGGACTAGGGATGGAACCCAGGACCTTGTGCATGCCAATCAAGTGCTCTACCACTGAGTCCCCCCAACAATGGCTAACACTTAATGATCAGTCACTCTGCACCCACTATGCCTTTTCCACCAGGCAACTGACAAATCTTAGCGAAGAGAGACTGCTATTGTCACTATCTAATAGAAGAGGAAACTGAATCTCAGAGCCTTACCCAGGACATACAACTGGTAAGTAGCAGGCTCAACCGGAACCTATATCCCACTGGCCCAAGATGGTGAAGATGTTGCTGATCACCACCTAACTGACTCTTTTCTGAATTATCTGAGGTTGAGAAGCCCAGAATTCTCCTCCTTGAACTGCATCCTATATTCCCCATTGATTCATTAATATTTGTTTACTTAATCTCTCAATTCGTCACATCTTAGGTTTCCTGTGACCTCTCCTTTTTTAAAACAAGTTCTTTTTAAAAAATATTTTTGATTGTAGATGAATACAATACTTTATTTTTTATGTGGTGCTTAGGATTTAACACAGTGCCTCACATGTGCTAGGCAAGTGCTATACCACTGAGCTACAATCCCAGCCCCCTCCCTTTTTGAGATGGGGGTCTATGGTCCCCTGGTCGGCACTGAATTTGCAATCCTCTTGATTTGGACTCTACAGTTATTGGGACTGGGTTTATAGACATATGACATTGTGAACAGCAGCCTATGAACATCACTTTAATGGAAAAACTAAGTTGGCGGTAGCGCACACCTGGAATCCCAGAGGCTCAGAAGGCTGAGGCAGGAGAATCACGAGTTCAAAGCCAGCCTCAGCAACTTAGCAAGGCCCTAAGAAACTCAGAGAGAACCTGTCTCCAAAAAAAAAAAAAAAAACCTGGGTTACAGGGCTGGGGTTGTAAAAGAGCGCCCGCCTAGCATGTGCAATGCGCTGGGTTCCATTCTCAGCACCACATAAAAATAAATAAATAAAATGAAGGTACTGTATCCAACTACAACTAAAGGAAAAAAAAAAGTTTGAGTCAGAAGACCGAGAAGAGTAGTCACAGGACCAGGGAGTTTCACTTGCAAAGTGAAAATAATGCCACCTCTGCCACCTTTTCATAGTATTACAATCAGTTGTTCATCAACCTTTCCCGTGCTAGGTTAAGAAAGTTTCAGAAGCGATATCACTTGTGTGCGTCCACAGCGAGTCAGTGGAGCACGCTAAACGTCAACACTGCCCAGCAAGCGTCTGGAATCCAGGCTCATCCTAACACCTCGCTTCGTGCGACCTGCCTGGGCAAAGAAGAAAAAGGTGGAGAAAAGAGAGGAGACGACTTCGAGGGAAGCTACCGGGCCACTTACCCTCCAGAATGGCGGGAATACAACCGAGCTGCACGGGAGTGGGCTGCTTCAAACCTAGCTGCCGACATTGTTCCACGAGCCACGATGACAACCCAAGATCCTCGAAGCCGGCCATCCTAGTTGCCAGCCTTAGGGCCCGTGTGATCCGCACTTCCGGCGGGCGTATATGACGTCAAGAATATCCCTTCCCATTATTGGTTCTGCTTCCTGCATGGTTCCACCCTCCTATTAACTAGGCCAATCCCAGCCTCGACCGCATCTTAATCACGTTTCCCGGAATCCCAGACTCTCTCAGGATCAAACGAAACTACAACTCCCGAGATGCCTGGCGAGAAGCGCTTGCGTCCCCCGCCCCCTTACTTCCGTTTAAGAGCCTTATATTGGCTCATTCAATTGACACATTTCCCATAGTGCCCCATTGCGGGGCCCTGCTTCCGGCCGACGTGTCTCTCAGGAAGTGAGGCAGGTGAGAGGACCCCGATATGGCACCTCCGGTCCCCGGCCCGGCCTCCGGCGGCTCTGGAGAAGTAGATGAGTTGTTCGACGTGAAGAACGCCTTCTATATCGGCAGCTACCAGCAGTGTATCAACGAGGCACAGCGGGTGAAGGTGCGGACGTGCCGGGATGGGGGGGGGGGAACGCTAGAGGTGGAGGCGGCTTCCTGGTGGCCTGGAGCAGTCCCCTATCTTGTTTCTAAAACCTTTTTCTGTTTCCACGGCATCTTTTCTCCATGCACCTTGCCAGAGAGCAGCGAGAAATAATCATTTTGGGTTTTGCCAACAAAACCCAAAGCAGTAACGTTGCGTGTTATTGCTCACTCCTAGAGCGCTCTCTCTTCGCCTTGAAGGCACCTGAGTAAGGGGGAGTTAACAGTCCTTCTGATTTGTCGAGCTATAACTCACTACCCGTGAAGGAGCGAGTTTTGCTTATCTCACACTTGACGACACCAAATTCTTTCCCAATGTTACTCTGCCCGATCAGCCTGGTTATTTCTCCCAAAGCTCGCTCAATTTTCATTCATTCCTCCTTGAGCATTTGCATGGATCAGGTACTGTATTCCTACTGGATTCAGAGGGAGGCAAAAAAGACAAAATTCCCAGCTCGATTGGAACGTAAATCTAGCAATAGCCACAGAGACAGTGAACAATGGAATGGTTTTGGAGAATGTTGGCAATGAGCTTGGGTGTTTGATGGCAAATCCAGCCAGAAAGGATTGTAACAAGAGAAGAAGCAGCAGGGAATGTTTCTTGCAGGATCTTTTAAAGAGGGATGTGGATGTTACTGTCACTTTGAAGGTGAACTGTTAGAGAATGTGTAAGTGCAGTGAACATAACATCACAGCCTAATGTTTTGAGTGTAGTATGTCTGGTTGTATAGTTCAGTGGTAGAGTGCTTGTCTAGCATGTGTGAGGCTCTGGATTTCATCCCCAGCACAGGAAAAAAAAAATGGGGCTCTCGGGGGTATCTCAGTGCATGATTACTATGTGTGAGGCCTTGAACTCAACCTCCAACATAAAAAATAAAAAAAGTTACAAGCCAGGGTAGCAGAAATGGAATGCATGAGGGGGAAGACAGAGAATGGGGTGGACAGGGCCTTCAGGGCTCTGTAGGGGTTTGGATTTTGAAAGGTAGATGTCTTTACTAGTACGTGCAAAAGGTTGGGAGGAGTTTGACTCTGAAGTAGAGAAGACTGGCTTTCTGTGTTCCCTGCCTCTGGCAATGTATCCGTTTACCCTGAGCACTGTATGATTGGGGATAAAACCTGGAAAAGGCCAAGCACAGTGGTACACACCTATAGCGCCATTCACTTGGGAAGCTGGGGCAGAAGGATTACTTGAGCTTAGGAGTTTCAGATCAGCCTGGGCAACACGTGAGACTCTGTCTCAAAAACAAAACAAAAAACTTCACATTGACTTCAGGAAGCTGTTAGGATTGGTTGAAGCAACATTTGCATGGTTGTATTTTATTTTGCCATAGTGACAAATTATAGTCATCCCTCAGTATCCACAGGGGATTGTGGATTCAGACACCTGGCCTCCACAGATACCAAAATTTTAGGATGCTAAAGTTCCTTTTATAAAATAGTGTAGTGCTTCCATAGAATCTATGCATATTCTCCTCTGACTTTCAGTCATCTCTAGATGACCTACAATTCATAATACATTGTAAATGCTATGGAAATAGTTGTTGTATTATTTAGGGAGTAATGAAAAGGGAAAAAAAGTCTGTACATGGTTCAGTACAGGTGCAGTTTTTAAAAAATATTTTTGATCTGCAGTTGGATAGCAGAAGTGACTGTGCCACAAATGCTGTTGAAGACAGCACATGTTTATTAATCTCACAGTTTGTGGGGGTCAGAAGACAACTAGGCTCTGACCAGGCTAAAATCAGGTTGTTGCCAGGGCTGTCTCCTTCCTGGATATTCTGGGAAAGAATCCACTTCCAATTCAAGCAGATGACCGCCTGTTGGCTAGGGCCACCCTAAGCTCCTAGAAGCCTCTCTTCAGTCCTCAGCTTCTCATATGGCCCCTCCATCACAGCCGTTCATGGGGCATTGAATCCTTTTAACTCAATCTCTTGGATTTCCCCTCCTGTTGTTCCTCCTCTGTTTTCTGTTATAGGCTTGTGTGACTAGACTGGGCCCACCCAGATAACCTAGCATAGTCTCCTCATTTTAGGGTCTTTAACCTTAATCACATCTGCAGAGTCCCTTTTCCATATAATAGAAGCTATTCTTAGACTCAGGGACAGTGGGAGACTTCCTTCAATCACCCACAACTTGTGTGTGCCTCCCTTCTGGGTACTACCAACTAAGAAGAGCCAGCCAGACCTGGGCTCAAGATTTCAACTCCAGGCACTGCAGCTCTCTGAGCCTCAGTTTCCCCTTCTGTCAAGTAGGAATGATGACACCTAGCTCAGTAGGGTTGTTGTGAGAGTGAGCATTATGCTCACATTTTGCCTTCCAACTTCTGCCAGAATTCTGTTCTGTTTGAATTTTCTTGTGTCAGAACACTGAAATTTTTTAAAATATATTTTTGTAGTAAATGGACACAATATCTTTATTATTTATGTACTTATGTATTTATTTATTTACATGGAGTTGAGAGTTGAACCCAGGGTCTCACACATGCTAGGCAGATTCTCTACCACCAAGCCACAACTCCAGCTCAGAACCCTGAAACTTCTGAGAACCAGTGTGATCTGCTTTATGTAGATAGTGACTGTAGATGTAGACAGATACCAGACTGGTGGACACTCTGGCTGAACCCAAGACCTATGCCCTCTCCTTAGCAGTGTGGTCTCCAAACAGATATTCTCCCTGATGCATCCAGATGAATGGGAGTATTGTCTCCTTCAAGCCATTTGATGTGATTTCATTCTGGTCCACAAGCCACCTCAACTCTGTCAGATGTGTCCTGAGTTGAACCATGTTCCCCCAAAGATATGTCTACCTGCAACACATAAATGAGGCTTATTTGAATAAAGGGTCCTTGAGGATGTAATTACTTGAAGGATCCCTAGGTGAGATCCTCCAGGATTTAGGATGGAACCTAATTCCAATACCAAGTGGCCACCTATAAGAAAAAAGGGAAATTAGAGACAGAAAAGATTGAGGCAGAGATTGGAGCAACACAGCCACAAGCCAAGGACTGTCACAAGCCACC